AAGGGTAATAATAGTTCTGATCTCATGGCTTTTCTGTGTCCATTAAGGTTGAGTTAATGTGCATTTATTATTACTCCTACTACTAGTAAGGATAGTAATACACTGTATTCTTCAGTGCAGAGGATTTAAATTACTTCCTTGAAAAAAGCAAAGGTCCCTTTGTTACCTGCTTTGCCAATCTAAAATTTGACCTGTCAGTTTGCTTATCCTGTTCTTAGTTTATCTTGGTCACTTATGAAATAAGTAACTCTCTTATGGTTTTCTGTTTGTCGCAGCTTGTCCCCCAAAATAGCAAATTTATTAATTGGCTAAACAAATCTATGTTGACTGCCTACTATATGCGGTTATTGAACAGGGTACTGAGGATATAAAGATAAAGCATGGTCTCTCTCCTGAGGACTTTATTAGGGAGATAAATTAGAAAAGGATTTTGTTGGGGTGGAAACACTTGAAACAGTTGCTTGAACAGAGAGGAGTTTATTTGTCCCAAACAAAATAAATACAAAGGTAGGCAGTTCAGGTCTGCTGTGTCTCTTTCTCTTTCATTTTTCCGTGTGGCATATAGGCCTCATGCATCTCTCCTTGTGGTGGAAAGAGGCTACCTCACCTCCAGGCAGGCTGGAGGAGAAATGGTTAAAGGACCAAAAAGGCTTTCTCCTTCTTAGGAGACTTTGCCTTCTTATTTCAGAAGGGACAGCCTTCTTAGGGACGTCCATGTATATCTCCCTGGCCAGAAGTGTTCATATGGTCACTTCTACCAGCAAGGGAAGCTGGAGATTAAGTTTCAGCTTTCAAGCCTCATTAGAAGGTTGTGGGAAAGGACTGTTAAATGAACCAACCTACAGTAACTGCTACAGCACACATGTGAATAACAATAAGCTACAAATTGGTACCAGAGGGGCACAGTTGAAAAGGGGGCAAGGCGACAATGAGATCAAGAAATCACCTGGAGAAGTCTGTATGGAGATCTAACAGGAAATCCTGCAACTGACACTTCCTTGAAGTTGCTACCCACAGCCCAGGTTCTGGCCTTTAACTGGCCCAAGAGTTGACTAGACACATTGAGGCTGATTCTCACCAAACTCACCAGAGATTAAGGTATAATTTACTCTGCTAATTTATTCATTTGCAGTAGGGACTATTGCAGAGTTGAAAACTCAATTTCCTGTAGGAATCAGGCAGGTAATGTAAACATATGAATCAGCCAAGTGTAAAACAATAAAACTGGTGGAAACTAGTTGTGAAGAAGAGAGAAAACCTATTCAAAGGCTTTCAAACTGAAAGACAAAAGTAAACACTGTGCAGCTATTAAACCTATATCTGCACTTCCTGATAAGACTTTTTGGCCCCAATTTGTGACTTCTGGTCTATTCCTTTCTGTTGGCTAGAAAGTGTTCCTGTTTCTTTTCTTTTTTTTTTTTAACATCTTTATTGGGGTATAATTGCTTTACAATGGTGTGTTAGTTTCTGCTTTACAACAAAATGAATCAGTTATATATATACATATATTCCCATATCTCTTCCCTCTTGCGTCTCCCTCCCTCCCACCCTCCCTATAGTGTTCATGTTTCTGTCCGGAGAACCATCTCTCCTGATAAACTGTGTACCTAGAAAACCAGTAGAGGAGTCACAAGGCAGTCTGGTGGGCATGGAATCTGAGTATAAGGAGGCAGATAGTTTTAGAAACATCTATTCTAGGCCAGGGTGAGACTTGATGAATCATCCATTCCCCACAATATGCATACGTCTCTGGAAAGCCCCTGCCTTCCAGATTCAGGGTCTCTAAGAAATACCTCCGAGCATTTTTCTTGCTGACGTTCCTTACGTTCCTTCTTCTATGCCTTCTGACAACCCTGGGTTACTCAGTCCAAGTAGGATACAATATAACTGTTTCCATTTACTAAAATATAGTCCCATTCCAGTCCTGCTTCCAGAGGGTACAACAAACTCACTTAGTTTGGAATTTGTTCATTTCCACATTCTTGTTTACCCAGATGATAGATGGTGTCCTTGTGCAAATGTATCAGATCTAATCACACCCATTTTATTTAATCTTGAGGGTTAGTTTATAAGAGCTTGGAGGAGGTACCTCACTGTTGCCTTCCTGTGTCATGAACACAGATATAGGCCTATTGAAGCATTTTTAATTTAATGATGAAATTTTCTTATCTAATTTAGTAGATAATTATTTGGAGGCCTGAGATACTTGAAAAATAAAAAGGAAGAGGAAGTTATGAATGAATAAAAGAACAAAGAGAATTTCTGTTAAAGGCCTAGTGTCAAAGTTCTCAACATGTCCTTGCCCCCAAACAGTCACTAAATCCTTAGATTTCTCCTTTGAAATATTTGTTGAAGCTATTCTTTTTTTTCTCTCTTTTTCATTTCCACTGCTTTCAACTTACGCTAGGACTTTATTATTTCCTGTCTGGACTACTGCAGTAGTTCTTAGGAACGCAGTACTGAACATCCTTTTTTGTTCCAAGGCAATTCCAGGGAAAAATTAAAATGGTTAACTCCACTTCTTTTTTCAAATAAAAATAAAATCTCGGGACTTCCCTGGGGGTCCAGTGGTTAAGACTCTGCACTTCCACTGCAGGGGGTGCGGGCTGGATCCCTGGTCGGGGAATGAAGATCCCACATGCTGTGCAGTGCAGCCAAAAAATAATAAAAATTGAAAAAAAATTCTGTGTAAAACATGTACATCTCACCATTTAGATTGATTACTTGGTTAAATAAGAGGAACTCAATGGAAAAAAAAAAGGCACTGATTTTTAGCCATAAAGTTATTATCTGGGCATATCTGAGATACAACAGTACAGAAGCAGTTTTCTAAACTTTTATGCCTTACATTTGTTTAGTTCTTTAGAGTCCCCAGAGTCTGTTCAAATCATTTTTATCCTAGGAAAAAATTCTATCTTCACTCTACTGCTAGGAAAACAGATCTGCCCTCTTTGTGGTAGACAAGGCTGGGTAGGGCTAGGCTGGGCTAGGCTACTCAGATAATGAATCAATTTGGAGACGCTGCCTCCCAAAAACTGACTTTCTGATTGGAAACTGGTTCTGGAATTTTTTCCGCCTAATACCACTGCTTTGTTTTAGTAGAAAGGCTACATTTTACATAAAGTTGTATGCTGTATATGCTCTATACCTCCCTATTTTCCCCACATCCAATTTCTCTGCATCCTTTTTAATACACCAATTTAACCATATCATTCCATACTCACATATCTTCCATTGTCTTTGGTCTGTTTATTCACTCATAAAAATGAGTTAATATTTGAAAGTTCTTAGAATAGTGCATGGCACATATTAGGTGCTATATAACAATAAAATATAATTTTTATTAAGAAATAAAAATTCAATTCAAATTGAGCATCTTACTATATACCAAGCAATCTGCTAGAGGTGGTGTATATGGCAGTGAATAAAACAGACATGGCCCCTGCCCTGAGAGTTTACAGGGCTTTCCTAAGTGACTGTGTATGTCTCAGTCATGAAAATTTAGCGCTGAGAGGATCTTGGATCATCTAATTCCATGTTTTCATTTATGGATGAGGAAACTGAAATTTAAGAAGGCAAATGACTTTCAAAATCATACAGCTGGTAGGAACACAGTCAGTGGTGTGCAGGAGCCAGGACACTACAGGATTTAACCAAATTGAAACCAGTGTTCCCCTGTCCACTGCTCTTCAGTCCAACCCACACCTCCCTTGATCAGGTTCTGTATCCCATAGACACAGAATTTTTTGTGGGTGTTTCTCATTGCATATAAATCAAGTTCAAGGGGTACGTGTTTTTTTTGTTTTTTTTTGGTTTTTTTGCGGTATGCGGGCCTCTCACTGTTGTGGCCTCTCCCGTTGCGGAGCACAGGCTCCGGACGCTCAGGCTCAGTGGCCATGGGTCATGGGCCCAGCCGCTCCGCGGCATGTGGGATCTTCCCGGACAGGGGCACAAACCTGCGTCCGCTGCATCGGCAGGCGGACTCTCAACCGCTGCGCCACCAGGGAAGCCCTAGACTGAATTTTTATGAGTTCAAATATTTTATTTCACAGTACCATAACAATGATAACTGCTATTTATATTAGCTCTTTGTAGATCTATAGAGGACTTTAACTGATAAGTTAGATTTTGTAGATTAAATGGCAACATCTAATCTATGAAAGCCACATTAATATCATAAGCCAATCATTCAATGAGTGAAGGTTTGGGGAAGGATTATTTGCAACGACGACATTAAGAAACAAAAACTTCAAGGATTATATGCAACTCAAATCCCAAGTAGCAAGGGGAAAGCGGATTAACTGTCGGTGTTTTCTGTACCGTGGTTTGACAGTCCTCTAACTCAGTTTTTGTAAATCTCCCTTGGTGTTCACATTTGGAGGAATTCAATCAACATTTACCACCTTGTACCATTTTTCAGGATCATAGTCTGGAAAAAATTCTGGACCATGCCAGAAGCCAACGAAGTACTCCAGTGACCAGAAATCTGTGGTGGAAGCGAGTGTCTTGCACATTTCCACTCCTGCGTTTATTCAACCCAATCCTACGCATTTCTTTCCAGCTCCTGCACACCCTCAGGACTGTACCAAAGGCACATCCCAAAAGAGTAGTCATCTTAATTGCCTTACACAGGCCAAAGAAGAAATACATTGGTTCTGTGGCTCTTCTCCAAGGCACTGTCACCTCACACTTCTAGAGCTTTAGGATTTACCTGGAGGGTTCATGGCAAAAGTGGAATTCCACTTCCACTCCCAAGGAAGAGGTGGCACGAGCCTTTCCTCTTAAAATTTTTATCTTGAAATGTCCATCGTGGCAGTGAAAGGCGGACCCTAGCGAACAAGAAATATTATTATTATTATTATTACAAAAAAATCTTAGCCCCGCTCCACACCCTGCACCCCAATTTCATTAGCCCAGGCCTCGGGACTCTCAGACCTCGAGGTGTGACCAAGGCCACGGACTACAAAACAGAGAATTCTGGGGGAAGGAAGTGACGACACGGCGCAAAGCACGCTGGACTCCGGCAGCCTCGGCTCAAGAGCCTCCTTCCTTCCAACGCGGCTGCTGAGGACCTGGCGGTGCTAGGAGTTTTAACTGGTATTTTTCTCATTTGTCAGGATTACACGTTAAGTATTACCTGGCTTGAGTACAGCTCTAAGTATCATGCGGCTTCGGGTTACGCCAGGGCACCAGCTCTAGAGCCTTAGCTGCTGCCCCTTCGTTTACGCATCCTCCAAACAAATTTTAAGATGAAAAGTGTCACAGATCCGGGGGCCTCTCCCTGGCGGGATCCATAGGAGACACAGAGCCAGAGAGGGAGTGAGTGGGTGGATATCAGAGCAGTTTTCTTTTTCATTTTTGGCTAAGAGTCGTGTGGCGTGAGCTCCTTTGATGGAAGGAGAGCAGAGTTCAAGGATTTGAGCATCTGCAGACTGGAGATCAAAGCCAGCGTGAAGGCGATCTGGAATGGGATTGGGAGGTGAAATAGAAGTGTGCCAGATAAGTTACCCCAGGCTGGGCCCCGCGGCAACTCAATGTCCCCGTGGCTTTCAGACTGAATAGTAAAATTTAACTGTCTTTCTGATATGGAACTTGAGGCAAATTGTAGGTGTTCTCTACCTCTAGAATAGAGATTGGAGTAAGACATCTGCCTGGGTGGAACATATATATTAATCCGAACTGGTGGTTGTTTTAGATCTAGCCAGCTGGCAACCATGAATGAATGGATGAAGAAAGGCCCCTTAGAATGGCAAGATTACACTTACAAAGAAGTCAGAGTGACAGCCAGTGAGAAGGAGTATAAAGGATGGGTTTTAACCATAGACCCAGTCTCTGCCAAGTGAGTATGGGTCCTGCTTCCCAGAAATCACCCCTTTGCACTGTTACATCCATACTAAGAAAACAGATAAATGAAAGGCTAATTATTCCCACATAAGAATTTAATTTTCTTTGAAGCTAAGTACTGTTCTAATTATAGATTTGTGTCAGACCAACCAAGTTCATAGAAATGGGACACTCCTTTTTTATTATATTTTATTGGAAAACTTCAAATATACACAAATGTGAAGAGAGTAGTATAATGAACACTAATCTTATTCCCCCTTCCAAATATTTTAAAGCCAATTACAGACATAATTTTGTTCATAAATCCTTCAGTATATCTCTTAGCAGATTCAGACTCTAATAAATGTAACCACAATACCATTATAACACCTAGCAAAAGTAATAATAACTTTAATATTAGCTAATTCCTAGTTTGAGTTCAGATTTTCCTGTTTGTCTCCAATGTATCTTTTTAAGCATATCAATTTGTTGATATGTCTCTGAAGAATCTTAATCTATAGCTGTACTTTCTCTCTCTTTGGTTTTCCATGTCATTTATTTGTTGAAGAAATGGAATCATTTGTCTATAGAATTCAACACACTCTGGATTTAGCTCATTGCATTTATCATGGCATAGTTTAACATGTTCTTTTATCCTTCGTATTTCCTATAAACTGGCATTCACAACTAGAGGTTTGATTAGGATCAGATTTTTTTTTGCAAAGCAACTTTAAAGGTGGTTATCCACACACTTTATTTTGGAATGATTTTAGATTTACAGAAAAATTGCAAAGAAAGTACAGAGAGTACCTATATACCCAGCTTCCCCTAATGTTAACAGTTTACACAACTGTCAAACATTTGTCGGAATTAAAAATTTACACTCACTAAACTACAATCATTTGGATTTTATCAGTTTTTCCACTAATGGCCTTTTTCTGTTCTGGAATCCAGTCCAAGGTCCTACATTACATTTAGGCATCCCGTCTCCTTAGTCTTCTCTGATATGTGACAGTTTTTCAGTCTTTACTTGTTTTTCATGACCCTGACACTTTTGAAGTGTCCTGGTGAGGTATTTTATAGAATGTCTCTCAATTTGGGTTTGTGTGATGATTTCTTTTTTTTTTTTTTTTTTTTTTGGCTGCGTTGTATGGCTTGCGGGATCTTAGTTCCCTAACAAGGGAATGAATGTGGGCCCTCGGCAGTGAAAGTGCAGAGTCCTAACCACTGGCCTGCCAGGAAATTCCCTGTGATGTTTTCTCATAGACTGGGGTTATAGGTTTTTGGGAAAAGTACCACAGAAATGAAATTCACATCACGTCACATTGCATCACATCGTCATACACCATATCATATCATATTTTAGTTAGGAGTTTTCCATTTGTATTCATGAGTGAGATTAGCTTATAGTTTTATTTTTTAATCCTGTTCTTCTCTGCTTTTGGTCTCAAGGTTATATTAGCCTCATTAAATGAGTTAAGGCATAGTCTCCCTTTTATAGTCCATAGGAGAATTTGGTTGGATTAGAAATGTTTGGTCCTTGAGAATTTTATAGAACTTCCTGGTAAAATTGTCCGGGCCTTTTTTTCCTCCTCCATGGGAAGATTTTAAACTGGTTATTTCAGGTTTTTTAAAAAAGATTATAGGACTATTTACATTCTCTCTCTCTTTTTTTGAGTCAGTAGTAGAAATTTATATTTTCTAGGAAGTTTTCTGTTTTCAGTTTCAAAATTATTTACCTAAATTTGTTCTTAATATTTTATACTATTAATTTTTGCTACCTTATTCCTAATATAATTTATATGTGCCTTCTTTCTCTTTTTATTAATCTTGCCTGAGTTTTGTGAAATTTGTATATCCTTTTCAAAGAACCAGCTTTTGGCTTTGATGATCCTCTTATTGACTCTTTTTTTAATTGAAGTATAGTTGATTTACAATATTGTGTACAACAAGGTGACTCAGTTATACACATATATACATTCATTTTTATATTCTTTTTCATTATGGTTTATCACAGGATATTGAATATAGTTCCCTGTGCTGTACCTTAGGACCTTGCTGTTTATCCATTCTAAATGTCATAGTTTGCATCTACCAACCCCAAACTCCCAGTCCATCCCTGTCCCTCCCCCTCCGCCTTGGCAACCACAAGTCTGTTCTTTATGGCTATGAGTCTGTTTCTGTGGTTTTTTGTTTTCCTGTTTTTTTTTTTTTTTTTTTGGCCACGCCAGGTGGCTTACA